AAAACAAAACTAAAGCCAAATAATGAGTGCAAACGGAATGAAACGCAAATCAAATCATATGAAGAGTATATTTGCATACTTTTACCGGACGTCTGTCTAAGCGCTAGATTGAGATTGAAGTTTAGGTTCAGAAAGTTTGGCCGATTGGCTGTCATTACGGAAGTGGACAATAAAGAGAGATATATTTTCAGACAATTGATTAGCAGTTAATCACAATCCATACGAAGATGTTATACATTGAATATTTATTAGACATATAATCAGAATTTTCAAAACACAATACCTGTCATTGAGTTTCTATTGGGAAGCATCGGATCGGATGGTGTGGTGGCGGCCGAAACGGGCGCTGAGTTAGCCGTAGGTCTGTGTGTGTCGGGCGTCGGCTGTGCTGTGAAGGCAGCGGTCGAACCACCGCTCAGATAAGTGGAAGCCTTTTGTCGAATGCGATCAAAGCCTTCGTAAGCCGTGTTTGTGATGTACGACAAGTCGAAAGAAGAGTCGGATTTCTCTGATTTAGTTAAACTGGTGTTCATTGAGGGCGAAAGGAAAGCCATTTGTGCCATATTGGGTACACTCGCCGTCTTTCGGATCAGCGCCTCCTGACTGATGGAAGTTGTGTTGAATTTCCCCTTTCGGGCCAACAGTTCCTTTGCGGCCACTTCTTGTCGGAGTCGGTCGAGCGATAAAATGCTTTCGACGGCCGAAACGCCTTTCGTATACTTTTCGATATAACTTTCGCCGTCGAAAGCGGTGCTGTCCTGACCCGAGGCCGCCATCAAAGCCAACGTTTCGCGATCTTCGATATCTTCGCTGGCCTTCGGAATGGAGGACACGATCTCATACGTGAGACCAGTGGCCGTCTGACAGTCGACGCGACCGATCTTCTTGAACAGCCGTCCGGTCAGCGATTGCTTTTTGTAGACATTGATTGACACCCGTTTGCGGAGCACTAACTCCATGACCGCCGGATGGCTGAGCCGTACCGACACTTTGAGAATGAGATACACGCGTTCGTTGGGTGGAGTGATTCGGTTCAGGTATAGGGAGTCGTGTATGGATGAGTCCCATCCGCCCACAGCCGACACATCTTTGTCGCAATTGCTAACAATCGGCAAATTGAAGAATTGGGTTCCGTTGTGCTCTTTGGGCAGAATTGAATTAATGCCCGCAATCTCGTGGTCGCCGCTCATCGTTAGGTTCATGTCATCCGCTAAATCACAAAACATTTTTCATTTAATTAATGCATTATTTTTTCGGTTCAAGTAATTGCCTAATAAATCATATGTTCATTCGTGGTATTAATTATTAATAATTTTGTACTTTAATTATAATTTATAAATAACAAAAACATTTTGATTAAAATTGAAAATAAGGTCAAATGGAGAGCCTGTCATCAAATGTATGGTAATGTTTGGTCTAATTTTTGTTTTACAATGAAGTGCTCATCGCATCAATCAATCCTTTAGTGATCCTTAATCTTATAGTTTAAGTGAAAACCATTGAAATGTCTAAAAAATCTAATCAAATCTGAGATAAAATCTGAAATTTAGGCGAATGTATCGGTAATAACGAGATCTATGGATATTATCTATAAATATAACTCAAATAATATCCTTGTATTAAACAGTATAAGAGTATAATAATGCTAAATATTTTCACTTTTTTGTTACATAATATTTAAATATTCAAAATTTTGAAACTCTTTTTTCTTCTTCTCTCAATTTCAACGCGAGAGAGAGAGAGAGAGAGA